CATCCTTCCATCCAACATCCATCCATCCATCCATCCATCCATCATCCATCCTTCCATCCATCCATCATCCATCCATCCGTCATCCATCCTTCCATCCATCCAACATCCATCCATCCATTCATCCATCCATCCATCCAGTTCATCCATCCATCCAACATCCATCCATCCTCTTTACCTCATGTCTTTCTTGCTGTATATTTGACAATCTAATGGATCTTTATTGTCAACAGGTGATTTAGAAGAACGTAGCCTAAATGCTAAAGCTGACGTCTCACCTGGTTGTGAACGTTGGGGACAAACTGTGAACYGTATCTGTGGAGCTAGCTTTCAAAAAGTCTCAAAGCCTCAGTGAATGTTCTTGATTTCCTTGTGTGAGACATGGATCCTCACTTTCACGTCACGATCATTTTAAACAAGTTTAGGTTAATTCAGGTTATCAGAGTGTGAACATGAAGCTCGTCACATTTTGAATGATTCTTTAACGATTGTTGCACCTGCTAACGTATTCCTGCGTCCATCTGCTCCAACGAYGACATCAAACTCCAGCTGGCTGAGGGGGTGGGACTTTGGACTCACCTCCATCCTCCAGCCCACCTCTGGACAGGTAACATGCAGGAAACAAACAGGTAAACAAGCAGGTAAACAAGCAGGTAAATATGCAGGTAAACAAGTAGGTAAATATGCAGGTAAATATGCAGGTAGACAAACAGGTAAACAAGCAGGTAAATATGCAGGTAGACAAACAGGTAAACAAGCAGGTAAACAAGCAGGTAAACAAGCAGGTAAATATGCAGGTAGACAAACAGGTAAACATGCAGGAAACAAGCAGGTAAAATAACAGGTAAACAAGCAGGTAAATATGCAGGTAGACAAACAGGTAAACATGCAGGAAACAAGCAGGTAAACTAACAGGTAAACAAGCAGGTAAGCAAACAGGTGAAAAGATCAACACGCAGAAAAAGAAGAATCTTTGTGTTTATCTGTTAGCAGTTGCTGAGCAGAACTAATAAGAGCCAAACATCATCAGGTGACTGTGGCGGCCATCTTGAATTGGGCACCACTCTCRTTCCAATCCATCCAATGACATCATCTTTGTGCCTTCCTTCATAAAACCACSGTAGATTCAGAACCAGAGTCCTCACTCTTTCTGTTCTGGTCCTCAGGTGGCTCCATCAGCTGTTTGAACTCCACGTTCACATGAACCTCGGCCCCCAGCAGGAGGGCCACCTTCAGCAGGACCAGCTGCAGCTGGCGGATACCTGCACACAGGAAGTGGGTCACACCATGGTCCAGCTGCTCCAGATCCAGAAGATCYACAACAAACAGACTCACTGATGTGGTCGATGGAGCCGGCGCAGAACTTCCCRTAGAACTTTTTGGCCCCGAGGCCCCGCAGGTCGTGGATGGTGAAGGGCCACAGGTGGAGGACGTTGTTCCTGGAAAACGAGTCCCTCTTCTCCAGAACCACCACCCGAGCCCCCATGAAGCTCAGCTCCACCGCTGTCCTGAGTCCACATGGCCCCGCCCCGATGATCACACACTGACCAGTGAGAGGAGAGAACAGCTGACCAATCAGAAACATCTAGTCTAAAGTGGTCTTTGTACAGAGAGGACCCAGTAGAACTCATGGACCCAATGAAGAACTTGGTTCTAGTTGATGATTATCATCATTTTAACCTGTTATTAACAGTTAATAACTCATTTATTAACTTTAACACATTGTTAGCATCAACACTTCTGCACTGAACACTCACAGTCAGGTTCCTGCAGACCCGGGCCCTCTGGTACTCGGGTTGYGCTGCTCTGCGGTCCAGTTTGGCCCACAAGGCATTGGCCTTCCAGTAGTTGAGGCGGCGTTKGATGGGTTGGTACAGCGGCCTCTCTGCGGCGCCGCAGTCCAGATGCAGGTGTTCACACAGCTGGCTGAAGCAGCGCAGCGCCGCCCTGCAGGTACACGCTGACACAAACGCATCAAACAGCTCCTGAGCTCGGCCTTCTGGGTCCGACCCGTCTCCCATGGTGAGCCCCGAGGCAGCAGGGCACCATGAGGGCGTCACCTTCAGACGATGGCAGTCTCCAGCTCGCCGTCTGACATCATCTGAGATAACAGGAAGTGGAAATCCAAAACTTCAMGAACTCAGATTATTTCTTAAACAAAACAAACAAAAATCATTTTATAAAAAAAAAACCCTTTCAATCAGAATGAAACCGAGGCTGTTCATCTGCAACAGGTAAGATATTTACTGTTTACAGCATTTCCACTGAATCCTGGCGGGCCACACGGGAGTCACCCGCGGGCCACATCTGGGCCGCGAGCCTTGAATTTGACACGTGTTCTAAACCCTAATCAGATCCAAACTGAATCAGATCCAAACTGAATCAGATCCAAACTGAATCAGATCCAAACTGAATCAGATCTAAACTGAATCAGATCCAAA